AATGAGCATCAAACTATCAATGTAACTTCAGACGCTTTCTAGGGAGCAGATGCGATTGTTTTTTGTACTGCAGCCTGAATTTGAACATTTGCTTTTTCTGTCTTTTGTTAAGTTAAAACTAGTCAATAAAGCCTCAAAGTAACATTTGGCTGAAAAAGTTGTTTCGATTAAGGCCAAAATATGAAATTATTTTTTGATTTGTGATTCATTGGTTAAAATTAACAAAAGCACTGACACCGACACGGGTGTTGTGCAATATTTTTCTCGTGCAACAATAAACCAATCTTTTTTCAATATAAAAGTCATTCATAGAACTCAAATTTCTTTCGAAAGAAATGTACATGTTCAAGAGCAACTTCTTGAAGAAGAGTTTGATCCTGAAAATAATTGTCACAGCAGCAGGTTGGTTAGACAGAAACTTTATTGAGATAATATATCAATTTTGTAAGTTTTGAGCTGTACTTAAACAATTTGTTGGCTCTCATTTGTCCCTCCCTGCATTTGATATTTCTTTTATTTCTTATAACAAATTTTTATATGAAAAAACTGGAATGGAGCATGTTTTAATTGCACGTTTGGCTTAGCTAAGCTCAAAATATAAAAATTACTTTTGGCGTTTTTTTTCAGTGCTAATGAAAGCTGGGTCTGGCACTGAACATCTAGAGGTCATGCGAGACGAATTCTACGGCGAGTGCAAAAAAATGCCCGGAGATTATGTTCGCATTTGCATCCAGGGTTTCGACATCATCGAGTATTACGTCAGAAGCAGGACTGGATCAGCTTATCTCCCCCCTCTCCCAAAATTTATAAATTCTAATGATCCAATGAGCCGTTTAAATTGGATAAAAGTTGTTTTAGAGCTGCGTGTAAATAATTAAATTCCGAATTTTGTCTTAGAGCCTGGCTTATATCTCCCCTAAGCCGCATTACTGGGGGGGGGGGGTTATGGTGTTAACTTGATCCACGCAGGTCCTGTGATGTTACTGTGGGGGTCACTGGTACTAAACTGTGCATTGAACTTACCCAATCAGATTATTGGTTTCCATTGGAAGACACTTTCAGCCCATTAGTGAAGTGTATTTTGGCTACTTGTTTGCGATACACGAACCCGTATTCAGCAGGTATCGTTGCTGGGAGTTATTTATAATAAAATTGGAACAAACTTAGAAATTGACTAAGTTAAGGAAGGTTCATGCAAAATAGTTTCCACTTTTGTTTTGTAAAGTCAATATTTTATCATCGGCTTTCTTATTACATCATAGCACAAAACGGAAAAACTACTGATCGAATACAGAGCAAACCTAAAAGCCCTAAAAGCGGCAAAATTATATCTTAGGGTGTGTGAAAAACTTAGTATTAGATTAAAAAACTGAGATTTCTACTTAAGAAAGTCCAATGAACCGTTACGAGAACTAATTAACCTGAAATTCCATGTTTAGATATCAACATATGGTATTATAACCAGTTAACCAGAGAAATTGCGTGTCACATGACCGAGGGTGACGCTTGTGTGAGTGTGGTGAAAAATGTCTTCATTAAGAGCTAGATGTTCTAATATACTTCTTGAACTTCCCCGAGAAAGGTTGCCTTCCTGAACCTTTAAGTGAAACTCTGAACTGGATGAAATCAATTTTTGTACTTGATTGAGGACGGTAGACTCTAGTCGCACAATTAAGTTCATCAAGCTTTTTCATTTTACATTATACAATTAGTTTGTAATTTATCTCTTAAAATTTACAAGTTGTGATTGAATTTGAAATTTTTTCAGTTCAGTACAAACGCGCCGAAGTACTAGAGGCGAAAAAAGTTCCTGAGAGCCAAAAACGTTTTTAAAACAACCTTATAAAAAGGGCAAACCAAAGCAATAAATTCAGCAACAATGGCAAAAAAGCAGCAAGGTGCCAATGATGTTATTCGAAAACAAAAAAAAAGAGTTTTTTTTTCAGTTTTTGACAAACTTCGTGTCAATTATAGCGAAATTATCTCAAGATTTTGTCGCAATACTAAATCTGAAGCGAAATGAAGCTAAATATATTTAGCTTCATTTCGCTTCATTATTAGTATAGCGACAAAACTGGAAATAATAGTGCCAAAACTGTTTTGCTTAGGTTATTATAATAACCTAAGCAAAACAGTTTTGGCACTATTCAACAAGTTTTGGCACCCTTGAATGCTGATTCACCGACATCAAGAAAAGTTTTAAGCTCGTATTTATCAAATTGAGACAAAATTAGACAAAAAAACAATGAAGACAATAATTGTTAAAACTGTGCCATCAAAAACTGCGAAAAATGTCTATTCTGTTTACACAAATTTAGGCAAAATAGAATACAAATTTTAAAGAGCTGTTTTGATTAGCTGAACCTGAAGTTTTTCCATTAAATTTTTAACCACATTTTTTTTATCAAACCCGGGTTGGCAAAAAATGTAGCCCATGGAATTTTTTTCCCTATGGCTCATACATTTCATGCATTTAAAAAACTGCATAAGAACTACGACAAAAATTCTCCCATTTGTGAGAATGATTTGACTAGCTTTCTTCCATAAAAAAGTTGAATGTCATAATTGCGAATAAAATGACTAATTACATAAATCAAATTTGAGTTTTACTCTAAACTTTTGCGTTTCTCCTGGAACACAATAATCAACGAGATAGCTCGTATCAGGGCGAAGCCCTGAATGTTCCGACTGCCTTTTAAAGGTCAATGAAGCAGTAATAACATAAAAAAATTCACTGAAATAAAACAAAATGAAAAAAAAAATTCTAAATTTTGAAATTTTTTAATGAAAATCATCCCCCCACACAACATATAAAGTACAAAAGGATAGATTTCGCTCCTTGTAACAAACCAATTATGGCAAATAAGCTTCTTTCAACCAATTTGGAACAATTTCTAAGACGGTTTAAATCTCCGCTTACACGATAATAGCGCGAAATATATCGCGGGTTAATTGTCCCAAATTGGCCAAAATGGCAATCTTTAAACCCCATATCTTTACAAAAAAATAATCACAGGTGAAATATCTTTTCAAATTCAAGCTCAAGACAACAACACCTTTTGAATGATATAAAAAATTCCGTCAAAAATGGCTAATTAAAAAGTCGAAATTTGTCTGAAGAAAAAAAACCACCCCGAGCACAAATATTCCGTTACTTTTGTATCGAAAGTCGGAACAACACGAATCACAATCACTGGGTTAAGTAAAAATGCAAAAAATAAGGCATTGATTTCCGATCCTGGAATTTTTGAAGTAGAAGCTTTTTAGCCATAGATTTTTTTGTTATAGTTTTATTCAATCTTCCTTAATTTAATTTAGATGGCGTTTATTTCGATGCAGGTTATCAATGAGACTATTGCCACTTAACTCATGGGTTTTTTCTATTGAGAAAATTTTTGTTCCGACTTTCGATACGAAAGTAACGGAATATTTGTGCTCGGGGTGGGTTTTTTTTTTCATCAGACCAATTTCGACTTTTTAACTAGCCATTTTCGACGGAAATTTTTTAATATCATTCAAAAGGTATTGTTGTCCTGAGCTCAAAATTGAAAAGATATTTCACCTGTGATCATTTTTCGTAAAGATATGGGGTTTAAAGATTGCCATTTTGGCCAATTTGGGACAATTAACCCGCGATATATTTCGCGCTATTATCGTGTAAGCGGAGATTTAAACCGTCTTAGAAATTGTTCCAAATTGGTTGAAAGAAGCTTATTTGCCATAACTGATTTGTTACAAGGAGCGAAATTTATCCTTTTATACTTTAAATGGCGTGTGAGGAGATGACTTTTATTTAAAAAAAATCAAATTAAAAAAATTCATTTCATTTTATTACATTTAACTTTCTTAAGGTTATTACTGCTCCATAAACCTTAAAAGGCAATCGGAAGAATCAGGGCTTCGCCCTGATACGAGCGGTCTTGTTTTTTTTGTGTGTAAGAAACTGATCTATATACAGAGCTAAATCTGGACTACAATATACACGAAATTTATCATTTCCTTACATGGTGATCATTACAATTTCAATACGGAAGAATGCAAGTCATAAAACTCCCACATATGATCATAAAATTTTGTTATATGATCATAAACAGAGCAGTCCTAATATAGTCAAGCTGCATTGTATGACTATCTTTTTTAAATATACCTAGCCAAAACATATCCACTTTTGGAATAAAGTTTTGGGTCTGATCTGTGCAAATCAAATCACAACAAAAAATTTTCTGCGAATTTCTATTTATACCATTGCTTTTTAGTTCAAATTTTTGATCGAATTTTCATCAAAACTGTTATGGAAGTTAATAAATTTATTACAAACTCTTGTATTTATATACAACCGCGTAAAATTAATGATGACACCGTAAAAATGCTGTCATTGCCTGAGAAAAGTAGAAGAACCAAATATTTAATCTTTTTGGCTGTTTTCGTTTTTTCCCAATAAATTATATCTAAATTAAATTAAATATATTCCCATTAAATTTAATTAAGGAGCCGAAGGTAAATTGAAACTAACTAATGACTTTGATAGTTTGACAAATGAATGAATTTGAAAACACACAGGATTAAATAAAAATATTTGCCACTTATGAACAAGAATTGCATGCAAACTTGAATTTCAGGCTGGTTCTCGACTGAAAAATTGACTGCAAAACTAGCTTTTATGCAAAACTAACTTTTCCTGAAATTGTGCAAATTTTAGTTTTCTTTGATCCAATTTTTAAGGACAAGTTTCAAGTTTTTAACCAGCTTTTTTTTCGACAGAATTTTGAAATTTTATAGAAAATTACTGATGCTCTCAACTCAGAAGTAAAAAGGTATTTTACCAAATACCTTTTATCGTGAAATAAAAAGAGTACAAAAATTGTCAAATTGGGTTGGGTTAATTAACGCGAGATAAAATTCCTCCTATTGAAATGTAAGCGGCAAAATAAAGCAATCCTAATTGATTTGAATCATACAATTCGCACGTTTCGTAAGTTCGGGGAAATTTTGAGAATAACCTTGAGTCTGTTTCTCCAGACATTCTGGCCTGTTTCCAAGTCCCAATAACAGAGCAGCTTGTCCCAGGCTGTCGTGAGGAAGTTCTTGGCCGGGGCTGTCTCGTTCTCACCTATCTGATCACGTGGTACATCCATATAGCTGATTATGTTGTCGTGGCAGTTGTATGTCTTAGCACAAGATATGGTATCCAACTTCCACAGTTTACCTGGTGCAAAATAGTTTGCGAATCAAAAAAGTAGTCGAAACTGCGGGAGCCCTATGCGCTTTTTTCTAATTTTGAGACTGTTCGCGCTTGGAAATGGTACACGTATATTTTTTTATGTACTAAACACTAATTTGGCTTAGTGTTTTTGGTTTTATTCCATATTTCCGTTATATTGTTTATCTCTGCTATCGGGCTGTTGCTGAAAGTCAAATATGCAGTTTTCTGTCCTATCAATTGTAGTTGGATTACGAATACGGAGGGTGTTTCAAAAAAAATCGTTGTTTTGGTGATTAATGGTCCTGCCGTTCAATCACAAATTTGATGAAAGTCAAATATGGTAGAGACTCAAATTAGGAACAAATGTTTTTTTTTTTCATTTTTGTTTCTGACCATTTATTGATTGAGTTCAGCTGCTCGTTTACCTATTCTCAATTTATTGTCAAATCCTGCGAGATCTTCATTATTTAAATACATAAATTTTAATTTTATTTTCTTTCCGGGGTTAAGTGTTAATACAAGAAAACATTTCAGACTCTTTTTAGATTATTGTTCCAACCATTTAAAAAATGGCAGGAGCTTTGTATTCGGCTGTTTTTTTTTTAAATTTCCACGCAAAATCAAGTACCACAAATAATCATCGCAATTGGCCGAATGATATGTCATACTGAAACCCTGTAAGTCGTAGTTTATATCATCGAGAAAAGCAAGCTTAAAATTTTTAATTTTCAGTCTAAGTTCGATCGAATAAAGCAAGCGAGGAGGCTAACGATAGCTTATATTAATAATTAATATAAATTAAGCCGTGAAAACATAGCTTTACTCAAGTTAACTTAGAGTTTTGAGTTTTTTAGCACCTTTTTGGAATTAAAACTTTAAAAAAGAAGATAAAACTGCTAAAAAATGTGAAACTATTTTAATTTTTAAACTTTTATTGTTTTTTCAGCATTTTTTTCTTAAAATTTTTGTCCAATTTGTTTATTTGTTTATGACTGCTGAATAAGCGCATGCCTTACTCTTTTTCAGATCCTTTTATCACACCACGCAGAAAAAACGACACTGATTTGAAAAAAGTTTTTAGTTTTTTGTTTCAAATTTTCTAAGACTATGGTCGGATTGTTTTGTGCTACTTGCACAAAAATCGGCTATTCTTGTTTTATAAATTTCTAAATTGTTAAAACTTTTAATTTAGATAAGGCTCAAACTAAATGAAAATATTTTGCTCACTGGGTGAAAAAATTGTTATCCAAAAATGAGGTGCAAACAACGATGGAAAAATCTTGACTTATATTCTGCAGTGAGTTGTTTTTGAGAAAATTCCTGGCAGAAGTGAAAATATACCTCTTGAATTTGGTTTATTATGATAACGTCATACTGATAGCGTCATTCGAAGGAGTTTTTGGATTTCAAAAAATTTCTTAAATATTTGAAATAACAAAAAGCTTCGTCTTTGTTTGGTTCCTTGAGTTCATGATGACTTTTGTTTTTGACAGCATTTTGGTTTGTGATTATTAATCTTGTCTTTATTTTAAGGACTTTTATAAAATCGTCATTATTTTTTACCTTTTTTTAGAAAAAATCCCTGCGAAATAAAAAAAACTTTTCCAATAATCCAGATTTCTCAATTGGTTTAATTCATCATGAAAATGTCAATCTCATATTGTTCTGAAAACTTAAAGAGCTCTGAAGCCATCTATTTTTTTGTTCAAGAATTTCAAGAACTTTTTTAAACCAGTATGATAGTATTTGATAGATTGTTATGCCTTTTGAAAAAATATCACGCAAATCGAAGCCACTGTCGATCGAGCGTCATTTGCTTCTCGGCAATTTTAGAGCATGTTTTTTCCCCATTGAATGGAAACAGGATACACCGTACGCACGACCAAACATTTTATACATGTTCGATATCCTACCTCTTGGTAGAGGGGGAAGCTGGTTGATTTTTTGTAAACGCGATTTTCATCAAAACTCCAATTTTTTGATGATTTTGAAAACCTGGTAATATTTTCTCAAGACGTTTTGAGGTTAAATTTCTCATGAGGCAAAATGACATGTAAGCAATCAAATGACGTTTTGCTGAAAAACTGTTTTTGCCAGGGTTTGAAATTTCTCGACTCGGCGACGTACTTCTCTCCATAAAAAACCTCGAATCTAGAATACACGCATTCAAAACCAAATGCCACAAAACATCCCCGAACACTAATTTTTCCAGGTTTTAGGACATACTCCTGGGTCAAAAAAAATCCGACCAGGTAGTTTTTTTTTAATTGAAATGTATTTCACAATTTTCCTGGCCTTAGGCAAAGAGTTAATTCATCAATGAATAAAACCTAACTCCCGTTTTGGTAATGCTTTTTCGGACGTAATTCATTCTTAAAAACACCTTTTTAAACTTTTTGACACAAATAATCCGGTTTTTGATTTCTTTTGACTATTGATATCCATGTCTGATTTGAGATATTGCTTTGTGAACTCGGGCACGTTCAATGGGCCAGTTTTGTAAGGTTTTAAGTTTGCTCGTATTGTTTAAGAGTTAAATCGGTATTCATTCTGAACCCTCCGCTCGAATAATAATAAAAAAGCAAATTTGTATCCAGTAATACATTCTTTTTTGAATTAGTGATGATCCAAAATGTTGCACTGGGTTGCAGCTAAACATGTTGGGTTTGCATTACAATGCCTTTTTAGGGGCAAAAATACCCAGAAAAGTATTTAGCCGAAAACAACTTGAATTGACTAGAAAAAACTACCAGGTTTAGCTTTGTTTATAGTTCAAATTTTGAGTAAGTATGAAAATAACTTTTTTATAAGCGTTTTTTAAACATACAACAACTTTTTCTTTTCGTAAAATTAGCTATAAGCAATTGATCCACAAAAGTCGCCAAAACCCAAGCTTCAAAAATGTCAGGAATTATAAAAGTTTTTGTAAAAGTTAGATCACTATTGTTAAATAAGTCAGTGTTATCAACATCAAAGAAGAAAGTCTCATTCAAACACCAGCCAAAACTTCAATAAAATTTCTCTGTTTTGTAGTAAAATATAAAATATAAAGCCAAAATAATTTAAAGCAACTTTGGGCTGTGTAATTGAACAACTTAAGTATTTCAAGCAACTGCTCAGTCAATTAGAGCCGCATAACGAAGTGTTTTCCTATCAACCAAGGATCGCCAAACTTTTCAATGTTCATAATACAAACTATGGATAGTAAGTGTTAGGTTATTGTCTAATTTCATATGAAGTTTTGCGCAAATGAATGCAAAAAGTCCTCGCGCATATGTATGAAGATAAAGCAAAAATAGCCAAAGAGAAAGCTCTGGAATTTTGCTTCAAAAAATTGTCTTCAGAAAAAATTACTTATGCAAAACAGTAAATAGGTATTCTAAATTGGAGAGGGCTGCGCATTTTTCTATTTTTGAGACTGTTAGCGTTTTTTTCGGAAATGGTACATGTGTATTTTTCATTAAATAAGGCCCAAATTTGAAGAAAACAAGAAAAAATAGACAATCAGAAAGTTTTAGTGTTTTTTTGCAAAAGTCTTTGGCTCAGAAAGTTTAGATTTTGTTTTCAAGGACTTGTTGATACAGTCACGGGACATAAAAATTCATTTTGCTTTATTTCAACGAGCGAATGAACGAATTTTTTCTTCAAGTTTTGCCGTTTTTCTGCAGTTTTTTAAAATAAAAGCTTGAAATTTTAACATATGCTAGATGAGATTTTAGAGCTTAAGCGGGCAATAAAATGAGAAAACCTTGTTATGAATGCTTAAATTAGCCAGTATATCATATCTACTTTTAGAGGTGTTCTTGCTGTGGAATCAACCTTGCAAAAAATATAAGGAATGCGAACTTTTGGGCTCAATTTAGTTATTTGGGAAGCTGATGAGCTTGACTTACAACGTATGCCACCTAAAATTGACAGATAAGAGAATTGAAAAAATCATGAGGCCCGGTGTCGAAAAAAAAATCAAATCTGTTTTAACAGCATTTACAAAAAAAATATTGGAAGCTTTCACTAGAAAATTGAAAAGATTTTTAATGACTTATTTTGATCATCAACGCAGAAATATTCGTTAATTTGAACATTTTTTTGACGCCAGGCTGAGTAACTGTTTGTTCGGACCATTTGAAAAATGTGGAGGAACTTTGTACTCGGGAAGGTTTTATTTTTTTTCTTTTTGTTTTACACTCAAAATCAGCTACCACAAATAAACATCGCAATAGGTCGAATGATATACCAATTTGAAGCCTTTTAAATCATGATTTGAACAGTTACAATGTTTCAATTTTGAGCAAATAAAGCGAGTGAGCAGGCTTAAATTCGTTTATTTATGTTTAATTTCAGCCGTGAAAACTTACATTTCTGTGACAAAAGTCAGTTTATGGAGTGTGCTTGCGCGCCATTTTGAGATTCAAGAAATTTTCAATTTTGTTTTCAAATTTCTGCCAAAAATCTTGAAAAAATTTGAAACCATTTTTGATTTTTGTTTTCTGTTTTTTTTTCTTTTTTTTTCTGTTCATTTTTCTTGAAAAAGAACTATTCATTTTGCTATTGTGAATCTATTGTGACAATTGAATAAAGTACACCCCAAATTGAATAAAGTACACCTCAAATTGAATAAAGTACAAAAAGCAAATATGTTTTTTTCTCTGATCAGCGTGCAAGTGTTTGTGCCGAAAAAATTGTTTAAATACAAAATTGAACTGCAGAGAAATGGAGAAAAACGATAATTCTTCTCTCGAGCTTCTTCTTTTGATTTTTTACTGAAAAACATTTACGAAAGCCTATTTGAAATGTCTTTCGATGATTGAAACTAATAAAGCACGAAAGATTGGATCAACGAACAGGTTTTTTAGCCCTTCTCGCATATAAATTTTCAAACAACTTGATTTGGAGGTTTACTTGGGTACGGGTGATTTTCCGGGCCTTCATTAGTTAACAAAAAATACGTTTGCGAAAATGATAATTTTGCTCTTTGCTATCTGATCAACTTTTAAGAGGTTACA